TTTCTACATCATCCCCATATAGAGAGCAGATGGGATCAATATCAATGCCTTTCTTCATAAGATTAGCTCCAACAGGCAGAGTGTTGGTAAAGCATTTCCAAATGAAATGTTTAATTTTCCCTTTGACTTTGAGCTTCCAACTCCTCTTCCTGATTTGCAAATCAGAGTATTTGCCCATGCTTCCTTCTGCAATATCCAAGTGTCTGAGTTTCATGTTCATAAGGTGTGCATAGGAAGTAGCCACAGAGAAGGCACCTTTGCAGTCCAACTTCCATCTCCATCTGTCTTCAAGGTCAGGGTTCAAGGAAGGGATCTCCATAATAGCTTGAGCTTCTGAATCAGAGAACATTTGAGATATCAACTCTGTATTCCACTGTCTGCCATTTTCCAGAGTTAATTTTCTGACAAAGAGGATTTCAGCATTGAGCATCCTTCTGGGGGCTGCAAGTCCAAGTTTGGGAACCCAGCCAGCATCACTGATCATGGTGGTTTTGCCATCTCTAACTTCCTTCCACATTCCTTGCTTGAAGACTGGGAACATATCCAGCCAATTGTTCCAAAGCCAGGACCCTGAAATTTTCTTTTGGCACCCAATCATTTCCCGACTTCCACTTTCCGCATTCCACGTACATATTTTATTTTATTTTTTTACTTTTTTAACCCTTTGTGTAATTATAATTAAAAATAAGGATTAAATTGAAAATATAGAAGTACAGACGCATTTTTTTTGCAGGAACGCAAATTTGCGTCAAAATCAGGAGAGAGAAACTCAAAAACTCATTTTGGGTTTGAGTTTGCAGTACCATTGGAGAGATTTTCCCCCAATTTTTGCGTTTTGCCGCTCGGTTGGAGACGGTCTAAGGGGACGGGTTTACTCCCAATTTAAATCGTACCAGGTAATACCTAGCTGATAGGGCTGCACAATCGGTTAAAACCGAACTGAACCGAATTTTCGGTTCGTCCAATATTAAAACCGAAAACCGAACCGAAAACTACGGTTCGGTTCGGTTTCAAACCGAAAATTTATCGGTTTTTTCGGTTCGGTTATCGGTTATCCGATAAAATAGAGAAATGAGAAAAAATAAAATTTACAAATAACAATAGATACTACTTAAAAAATCAAAATTTCTTCCAACTAAAACTCTAAAATCCCAAATCGAGATAATTCTTATTAAATATTCAAATTAGTATCTAATTGTTCTCTTTCTAGTAGCAATTACAAAAAATAAAAGTGAAACGAACTTGGTCCTGATTGCGCAACCCTTGTGAGGGAATTTAGGCGGAGAACTCATTGCTTGCCGAGTGTGTGCGGGGGCAACGGGTGTGTGAGCTCCGATGCCGACAGGAGCATACACCGTGCGGGAGACCGGAGTGTGCCGTGCAGGTAGCCTCAAGCTTGGGAGATGAGTTTTGAAAATTAGGTTTTTTTTTTCTTTTTTTTTTTCATTCTGCCGATGAGTATTGAATGTGAGGAGTACGAAGGAGGATGACAGAGTCTGAGATAAGATAATAAGATTAATGTCGTCATTTTTTAATTTATTTTACATTGATTTAGTTTTTAGTTAATTAATAAGTTGGGGTTTTTTTTTTATTTACAAATGTTTGGGCTGGGGACTGTAGTGGGTTGATATATAAAATGGGCTAATCAAATGGGCTTGGATTGATATAGGTATTAGAAAAATAATGTATTAGAAAAAATGACGCCCCCTAACTATATTCATAAACATTATACAGTAAGACACTCACTCACTATTTAGACAAATTTACTCCGTTTCTTTTACTTATATACTCTTTAGACAAAATTTTGAATTTTTTAATTTTTTATCTGGTATTTTATTTGATTGGGCGGTTTTTAATTTTTTCTTTTTTGTATTTTTAAATTTTTTAACTGGCACAACTTTATAGTAGTCTGACAGTCATTATGGAAACTGTTTTCATCTTCTTCTTTTTATTTCATTTCGCCATTTTGTATTTATTTTTTTGTTTGGTTTTTTTTTTGTTCTTAGTTTTCAATTGTTTTAACTTGATCATCAGATAAAAAAATTTCAAATCTCATGGTTGAGTCAAAGAAAAGAAAAAAATCTTTCAAAAAATTTGTATTGCTATGAAAAGATCTAAGAAACGGATCGAAAACTCCTCGAGAAACTATTCGCTCAAATACAAAAGCACGAGGAGCAAATAGGGTAGGGTACAAACTATTTTGAGGATGAAAGCGGTCAAGGAGAACAATTTCCTCTCATTCAATACAGCCGCGAAATTCTCAATTCGAGTTTGATGTTTAGGTATGTGACTCAATTTTCTAGTGGTAGTGTTGTTCCCAGCAATTCGGGTCGATATGTGTCATCTGCAATTCGAAGTGAATTGTTCAATACATGAGGTTGGGGTTTTGTTCGGGACGGTCTGCGACCGGGGTCTTTGGCGGCAATCGATGGGGTTAGGATCGCAAGCAAGATCCATATGCGATATAGAAATGCTCTCCAAATGTTTTCATCCATCAAAACATTAAATTTATTGAAAAATATGAGAGTTTTGTGTTTTGGTGTATGTATTGCATGATAGATTGCAGAAAAGGGAATATGTATGCTGGGTAGATGACCTCATGTATTCTGTTTTGGTTCATATGTGGTTTTTGGGTGTACTTGATATTATTATTTATTTATTTTTGGGCGTGATAGATTGCAAAGAAGGGATTTTTTCTTTTGTATTTGATTTTTTTTTTTTTGGGTTCATTCTATCAACAATATCATTTTTTTGGTTTTGTTCTAAATTGAGTTCAACTCTTCTTGTTGTTTTTTAGTTACTTTATTATTTTTTTGTGGTTGTGAAAGACAAACTTTTAGTTGTTACCAATGACGTTGAGCTGATTAATGACAAATTTACACTTGATAGAATTCCACAATAACATAACAAACAATGACAACTTTACACTTGACAGAATCCTACAATAAAACAACAAACAACTATAATTATCACAATACCTTTACACAAAACATGTACAACTAATCAAACAAAAAATAACATCAAAATAACTTACAAAAAACATAAAGGGCGTATCATTGAAAAATATTTTAAATAAAATAGTAATGAGATCTGGAAAAAAATAATATAAAATTTGGCAAAGTAGATACAAAAAAATATGACTCTTTACAAAAAAATTTGAGAAAAACCACCAGTTCACGGCCTGGTATTTTGCACTTCATTAAATCACTGATTGTTTCGAGTACTCTGTTTTCATCTTCTTCAGCATTTTTTTTTTTTTTTTGTAATTTCTTATCATGGTTATGTCTACTAACTGTCTTACTTTTCAAATTCCAATTTGTTACGATACGGTTTTTTCGGGAACGTTTTAATTTAATTGTTTTTTAAGTTTAATTTTTTTTTTTTTAAAAAAAAAGAAAATTGGCTGGCCTAGTCGTGTCCAGTATAGCGGGCATATTGGGAAATGTGTTTCAGCAGGTGCTTATGCGAAAACATTTGTTCAGATTAGGCAGATGCTTAAGCAGGTGCTTATGTAGTGGGCTTTTTTAAGTTATATATATCGGGTTTTGGTTCAGTTTGGTTAACTGAAAATTTTATCCCAACCGAATTGAAAACCGAAATTTAAAAAAAAAATTTAAACCGAAAGCCGAACCAAAATTTCGATTTCGGTCGGTTTCAGTCGGTTATCTAAATTTTGTGCACCCCTACTAGCTGAACATCGTATTATCCAATTGCAATTGTTATTTCCACATTTTTTTTTTCTGTTGGGTTAAGGGTGTGTGTTGTGTAATCGCGAGTGTACCAATTGCGTTTCATTCTCTTTTGGACTTTTATAAATGCTACTCCATCCCCTCTCTCTCTCTCTCTCTCTCTCAGACTTCATCGCAATTATTGCCGTCTTACCGGACTCTGTTCTCCGCATACCGATCTATCTCCTCTTCCAGGTACATATTCATTTCCATTTCTCTTCATCTGTTCATAGCTTATGTGTGTTTCATTAAGTTCCAGTATGTGAATCGAATGTCTGTTCGATGGGGATTTGAAATCTTATAACTGTTGCTTAGGTCTCCATCCATTATTTTTGCTTTTCATGTTCCCAAGCAACTTGGCCGCCATCGCCACTCAGGAAACAAGAGACCACTGAGACTGGTGCTTAGGTTTTACTTTCTCTATCTATTGATTTTGCTTTTTAACGTTTTTCGTTTCCCCTGTAGTTTAAGCTGTTATGTCATATATTTTTCTTGCGCACCCTATGCTTTAAATTAAACTGGAATCGGTGCCTTTGGTTATCTGGTATCGAAAGCAGCTGGAGTTGTGAACTTGAAAAGTTTCGTTTGCTCTACTCGCTTTAAGTATATGCTAACTCTTTTTAACCTCCTTTTTAACTTTAACAGTTGCCTTGATGCTTGAAACGATGTGGACTTCAGTTTTAACTGGATGGTAGCCCTCAAATTGATTGTTTATGTGCAGCCTGTCGACTATGTACTCTATTTTTGTTTTACTTGAATGTTTATTTTTAGGCTGTACATGTTTGGGAGGAAAGTCGGGATGCTTGAAATTACGTGGACATTATTTTGACTAGATGGTAGTTCTCGAATGGATTGCTTATGGGTCTAGCTTGTTGACTCCGTTCTCAATTTTTGTTTGACATTTGTGTTTATTTTTGTGCGTTATATGCTTCTTGAGATAGTATGTTTAACCAAGTTGGGTTCATTATTAGTCAATTAAATGATAGGTTTTGCTGAGTTGTTTTGTTATACCATGATATTCTGCATGTGCATCCTTATGTGTGGTTTTCTTTGTTTTGTTTGTCTCGTAGGTGATTCTATGCTTTGTTTCAATTCTTAAGTTCATATCTGGTTTTCTTGTGTTTCTGTTTTTGATTGCCATGTTCTTTTCAGATTTTGTATTATAAGGAGGGAGGCTTCAAATTCATTGAAGAGCTTTCCGACAGAAAGTTGAAAGGAAAGCCGCTGGTTTGGGAGGAAAAAATATTCTTCATGACCTTTTGACATTTTACAATGTCAGGGTTGCTCAATGTATTGTCTCTTCTTCTTTTGTGTTATTATGTGTAATTATTTTTATATTTAACATTGAATTAATATAGTTTCTTTTTAGCTCTTTTGCCTGATACTTCAAAATTGTCAGTTTTCTAATCATGGTTGTTTTTTTGTACTATATATTTGACTGCATATAAATTTGTTCAATCGATTATTTATATGAAATATCACTGATTGGTGTATTGAACTTGCATCATTCTGATGACTCTGAAATACTGAATTTATCTTGTGATTGAGGAATGTTGATGTCCTGTAGTTTGTTTTGAAAATCATGTGTATGAGTATGCATTTTATGAAACGTCTAGTTGAGTTTTGTCTGAGACTCTATTCCCCTGCTTGATCCAACAACCGCATTTCTCTTGCACCTTTCTGCATAGTGAACTTCTGAGGGAAGCAGCTAAGTTTTGATCCGTCTGGCTACATAGTCTATTGGCTCTTTTTGTCATGGGGAATTTAATGTAGGCGAGGGAAGCAGCTAAGTTTTGATCCGTCTGGCTACATAGTCTATTGGCTCTTTTTGTCATGGGGAATTTAATGTAGGCCTTACTTTTGTCTGGGTCGTTGGTTTTGATACTTAACTCTGAATTTCTCTGCTTATTTCTATCTTTATAGTTAAGAAAAATAAAAGAAGTGTAGAAGGTGGCGTTTTCTTACACAATGTATTCAGGGAAGATGAACCTGGTTGAACTTATCTTTATGTGGGATTGTCTCTTTTACCCAGCCAATGTAAAGCATTTATTTTTTGTGTGTCTAGAAGCAGAGAATGAGTAACTTCTACTTATTGCAAACCTTGACTTGATGTGAAGTTCAATTGGAATTTTAGAATGTATATACAGTAGGGTGAAATATTTTTGTTGAAGTTATGGTTTGGAATCTTTTCTTCTTTTGGCAGTGATGTACTGTCACACATTTGATGATTATAGCTTTTAGCTAACCTTTTCTTGGTGGCTTGTTCTTCCAAGGTAGCAAGGCCTATGGCGACCTAGTCAATTTTCTAGCAGTCAGCTTCATCTTTATAATTTTAACATGGAATTTTCTCTTCTTTGCTTGATCTTTTTTTCTTTCTCTTGTTTCTGTGTGCCTATTTTCTAGTTGGGGTTTGGGGAATCTATGTGAATGATAAAGATCTCATCGACATTAGTGCGTTCTTATTAGTTGGTGACTTTTGTGCTTGAGAAACTGTACTGCTTTTGATCACATTGACATCCATTGATCTCAGTTTTTTTGAAGCTTATTGCAGAGAGATTATCTGTGAGATATAAATTGTTTTCTTTGTAATTCATTTGTGCATTTTTATATTAAGCAGTGATGAACTGCATCTAGTTATATACAAACTTGCAAGGTAGATGATGGTTGACATGCCATTCTGCGGTTTCTATCTGTTAACATTTACTTTTTACCACTGCAGTCATCGCTTAACGGGTCAAATTCAAATCTTCCGGACAGCTCAGGAAGACCATTCTCACCATCATTTTCTAGCCAGCCTGGTGCTGGTTCTCCTGTTTTTCATCACACTGGTGAGTTGCTTGTTGGGACTTGGGATGACTGTTATTGTTTTTACAATTATCTGTAACTTCAACCTTTCTTTACGCTTTACAGGAAATATTCAGGCACTGCATAATACTCATGGAAATTTCAATGTTCCCAATATGCCCGGAGCCCTTGGATCAAGAAACACCACCATGAATAGCGTTCCCTCTGGTGGCTTGCAACAAGCTGGCGGAAATATTTCTAGTGGACGCTTTGCATCAAATAACCTTCCAGTTGCTCTTTCTCAGGTAAGATCTCATCTTTGAATTATTTATATCACATGATGTTAGTGCTAAAGATGGTTGTTAGGATATATCTGGAAATCAAGTGAATATGAATCTGTAGCCATATTACTATTTATCCTGTGGACCATGTTATGCTGAGTGGCTGTTATATAATTTTTTCTGATTTGCAGATATCTCACACTGGTGCACATGTTCATTCAGGGATAACGAATAGAGGTGCTATGAATATTGTGGGAAACCAAGGGTATAACAATAGCACTAATGGCGTTGGTGGTTCAATCCCTGGTATTTTTCCGTCCTCTGCGGCAATCGGTAACCGAACCACTATGCCTGGTGTTGGTGTGAATCCAGTTCTTGGAAACTCAGGTCCACGGATTACAAGTTCAATGGGGAATATAGTTGGTGGGGCAAACATGAGCAGAAATATTAGCTCAGGTGGCGGATTATCTGTACCTGGTCTTGCTTCTCGCCTAAATTTAGCTACCAATGGTGCCTCTGGAAATTTAAATGTGCAGGGACAAAATAGGCTGATGGGTGGTGTACTCCAACAAGGTAACTACACTGTTACCTTTGCTGCTATCTTTTGTTCTTAACAAGGAAATTTTACATGGGATGCTACGGAATGTTAGTTTGTGGGGATTGGTGATGATTTATATATGTATACTTGTATTGAAATCGAACATTTTTCTAATGTATTGCATGACCTTCAGTTGGAGAAAATGAAAATCACACATAACTAATAGCTTAGTATTCTCTGGATCAAGGGTACTCGCCGATGGCAATGTTAGCTGTTACAAATTAATGTAATCTAGACTGATGTTGCTCCTTAGATTGCAATGAAAAAGAACTTGAAATGTCTTTTTTAATGTGTATTGATTGAATTTTCAAAGGGCCACCATCACCATCTCTCTCAGCTGATTATTATGCTTTTTCTTGCGTGAGTATTTGTTAAGTAATTGTAAGCAGCCTTTGTTGGTTCACATTATTGGGGAGCAATAGAAGGCACAGGTGTAATTTCTGTGTTGACATTACTGATTGTTGCTTCTTCTTGTTGTTTCTAGTCCATCATCTTGCCTTTCTAAATTTTATTTGTTTAAGATAATGTCTTCACCGTCCAAATATGTATGTTACATATTTATTTTACAGTATCTGAATGCTAATTTTTGTTTTTCTTGTTAAGGAGATTTCTGTTTTGCTGTAGTTTTGTTGTAGGTATTCTCTTACCCATAGTTTTAAATGGCGAGGCGAGGCGATTCGCCATGGCAAGGCCTTGCGAACACAAGCCACCAAAGCTTAAAAATATATCTATATATATATATATACACACACACGCACACATACATATAGATAGTAATATCATATATTTAAGTCCATGTGCCAAAATAATCTTAAATATCCTAAAAAAAATTACATAAATTAAATTAGTTGTAATTACTAAAAGCATCTAAAACTTAATTGTGAATACTAGTAATAAGGTAAATACAAAGTGTAAAGTAAAAGAAAATGAAAGAAAACTGTCACCTTTGACTATTGACAAAACTAGTAAACATAGATAAAGTAAAAAAATAAAGAAAAAAAAGAAAAAGATAGGCGGTGTGAACGAGAAAACAGAGAAAAGGGAGAAGGAAAAGAAAGGAAAAGGCACGCATCACCGACCGTCTTGGCGGCGGCGAGATGGTGGCCGGGGTTCAGAGGAAGCCGGAAATGGGATGGGTCGACCGTGGGTTTCTGCAATTTTTAAATCTGAGAAGCTTCTTTCGCAGAAACCCTAGTTCTAGTTTGGGGAGAAGCCATTTAGGGATTTTTCACTGAAGTTCTTTTGCTTCGTGGATCTGGGAGATGAAGTGAAGAAAGAGTTCGATATGTATTAATTTATTCTCTTATCAAAAAGTGGCACACATTTTTTTTTCTTCTTTTTTTTTTTTAAATGGACAACACCTTTAATTTCTCTGAATGGAGCCGAGGCGTGCCTCACAGGCGCCTTTCGCCACGCGAAAAGGCGAGCCGAGGCGACCTGAAGCGAGTGCCTCGCGACCAGGGTCGCCTCAGGCAGTGGCGAGGCGATATGGTCCTCGCCTCGAGGCGTCGCCATATTATGGCAAGAAAAATTTTGCTGCCTATAAGAATTTAGCTGCTGAGGTTCTTATGTTTCAGATCATGTATGGCAGACTGTATAAAATATAAATTGTACAAAGATTTTTTGTTTCATTAACTGTTTAATTGAGTTGATCTCTTTCTAAAGTATTTTTGCGCATGACATGAAGTTTCACTATTTTATTGTTTTATAGTGATTCTGTATGTACGTGACAGTTTATAGCTGATCTGCAGACCTCAAACCCCCTGCCCAATCCCCTAGTTACACACAATGTTCTAAAATTTGCTAAGCACCCATCGACCGGCGTGCTGGGGACTAGAGCCTAGAATATGCCTAGGTGGGGACTAGGCGAGATCATAAAAATAAAAGAAACATATTTATATTTAGCATTATTCATAGTTTGTAAGATATATTATATAAAATATATATGGCCAAATACAAAGATTATGCAGAATCTAATACATTTATAATTATTGTATTAATTTTAATAGGATAATAATTTTTTTTATCATAACTAATGTAAATTTCATGAATAAAATTAAAATCATTTTTATTATTTAAAAAGAGAAATTTAAAATAATTTAAGAACAAAAATATGGGCGCCTAAGCGCCATCAAGACCTTGCCCAACTAGGCCGCCTAGCCAGCCTAAACATGACTAACTTTGCAACTGCCTTGGCGCCGCCTTGGCCTCCTAGATGCCGCCTAATTGTCCAAGTGCCTAGAATGGCTGCCTAGGCAAAAATCGTGGCGCTCAGGTGCTAGCGCCTAGACCAATTTTTACAACAGAGGTCACACAAGTATGCAAAAATGAAAAGAAGAGAATGAATTAGTTTCATTCTTAATATTGTCATATTACAAGTTATAAGTGTTTTGATATCTTTTACTCATTTCGTATTTTCTGGATAAATATGTTTCCGTTTATTGGTTGTAGTGCTCTTGAAACTGTTCGTTTTAGATTGTTTCTGAGACTGAATTTAGCACATTCTTGGTAAATGTTGCTTGCTTGAGGAACAGATGCACTTTATGATACTGAAAATTCTGTTATTCAGCTTCTCCACAGGTATTATCCATGTTAGGCAATTCCTATCCTACTGCTGGCAGTCATTTATCTCAAAGCCATGTTCAACCTGTAAATAACCTTACTAGTATGGGCATAATGAATGATCTGAATTCAAATGATGGTGCCTCTTTCGATATCAATGATTTCCCTCAGTTGACTAGTCGTCCCAGTTCTTCTGGAGGCCCACAAGGACAATATGGTAACAAAAAAAGCTGGTCTACTTTCTATGTAACTTCTTTATGCAATATTATTTCTGCTGTAAGATACATCGCTATTCAATATATTGTAGGTTCATTGCGGAAACAGGGTCTTCCTCCTATTGTTCAACAAAATCAAGAGTTCAGCATTCAAAATGAAGATTTTCCAGCCTTACCTGGATTTAAAGGTGCATATGTGTTCATATTCGACATTTATTTTTGTTCTTAGTGATATAGGTTTGTTTAGGGCTTGATTGTTTATGAAATACTTTGTTCCAATTTAGTTATTTTGGTTAACCATAGTTAATTTTGAAAAAGGTAGTATGGTTGGTTGCAGTAAAATTTAAAAAATGTTTTAGAATAATATTTAAAATAAAATGATTAAAATTGATTTGATGTAAAAGCAAGAGAAATGATTGAAAATGATAGGTAGTTAAAATTATTTGAATGGATGAATAGTGATTTTAAGTTGATGTGATGTGTAAGAATGATTGGTTTGTACTATTTAATTATATGAATAATATAATATTATATCAATTATTATTTTGTGATGTATACAAAATAATTATATGAATAATATTAAAGATAGTAGGGTTGGGTTAAAGTTGAGTTAGATTTTGAGTTGAAATAAAAGTGAGTAAATTATTTTGTATACAAGCAAGCTCTTACCTTCTGGTATGATGTTTAGATGACTAGTGTATTGAAAGATGCAATAGTCTTCATTCAGTAGTTATGAGCTATATGACTTCTTTAGTTAAATTGTGAATAGATGAAAATGGATCTTTGTTGATAAATTCAATTTTGGTTCAGATTGTTATTGTCTTATTGATTTCATCTTGTGTAATTGGCACTTCTTCAAGTAGGTTATTCAACAGTTTTCTTAATCCGAGTATTGACTACCAAATTACCTTATTAAACATTAGTATTCTGCACCAGTTAAAGGTCCGGCCGGGCAGACACGAAAGTGAAAATGGCCTCATATTGTATTGTTAATTATGGCTCTGTGTGTCTATACTCAATGCATAAATTCTGACTTGAAGGAGATTTTCGTGAAGAAACTGCATTATTGAGGTTGTGTACATATAATGATATTTGAATTATTTTATGGTGGTGAAGATTGTCTTTTCCTTTTTGTGCCCCCCAGAAACGATAAATATTATATAACTAATTAAAATCATCAGTACAAAGCCTTGACACACATTCAATTGGAATTACACAATCTACCAATGGGAAAAATACAAGTAACACACAAAAACACCCTCCATAAGACAAAAACACTCCAATGCTGGAGACTGAAGCCTAGATAGAGTTGGGATACAAGGAAAAAAAAAAGAAAAAAGAAAACTACACAACTACACCCACCTACAACAAATAATTAGAATAATTCTTCAATTTTACACACAGTTTCTTTTGAATTTGATCATACTGACCTAATATTTGTGCATGTGATGTATATTTTCTTTTTTAGACCTATTCTGTCAATTATATATAGTTTTGAACATGTATGCCCAGAATTAACATTGAAATTGTCAATATATTGATCTGTTATAGGTGGTAATGTTGATTTTTCTATGGACTTACACCAGAAAGAACAACCTCATGATAGCTCTGTTTCTATGATGCGGCCTCAAAATTTTTCTGTAAGCGCATATATGTTCAACTTTAATGTATCCGTAAAATCTAAGCTCCATTTCTTCTGAATTTATCCGATTTAAAATGCAGATGGGGAGATCTGCTGGTTTTAATATGGGTGCAACATACTCATCACATCGACTACAGCAGCAGCAACCACACACTCCATCAGGAAGCGGTGGTGGTGGGCCCTTTTCGAATGTGAATAACCAAGATCTGTTCCATTTACATGGCTCTGAAATGTTTCCATCATCACATTCCAACTTTCACTCACAGGTCCCTTTTTTATTTTAATATTTTATTTTAATTTTGTAATTATTGATCATTATGACTGCTTAAGCTTAACTGAACAGGGTACAAATAAAAATAATTGAAAATTGGAATAAGCTAATAATCTTACTTTTTATCCATTATTTTCTTTAGGGTTTCATATAGTATGCTTGCCAACACTAATCCCAGCCCTTTACTTCTTTATTCATGGAGATATCAGTAGTACTTTTGCTGAATGAGAGCAAGCTAAACAACTCTACTTTTGTATGGTTTCAAACTGATATGGTTAACTAAGACCTGATCACCTGGAAGAGTTTAGAGTTGCTTTAAGTGCCACCATCTGCACTTTGTTCCTTTGATATAATTTTTTTAGAAGCTGGGGAGATGTATGTTAGGGTGGACTAAAACTAGGTTAGAATATGCAGAACTGCAAGATGAGCTAAATGCTCTTGTGGGCCTCCTCTCCTTTTTTTTTGTCATTATTATACTTACTGTAAGTTCTCATAATTATAGTTACTGTAAGTTTTCTTGGTAAAAATTAGTGGTTAATGTATTCTTTATATTGTTTTTTTAATGATTCAGAGCAGTGGACCTCCTGGGTTAGGACTGCGACCTCTGAATACGTCGACTTTACTATCTGATATAGGGCCGTATGACCAGGTTTTACAGCCATATCAGCAGCATCAAAATCGATCACCATTTCGTCTCCAACAAATGTCTGCTGTTGGTCAGCCTTTTCGGGATCAAGGGGTGAAGCCTATACAGGCTGTCCAGGTCGCATCGGATCCATTTGGTTTGCGTGGTTTGTTAAGTGTGATAAGAATGAGTAATCCAGATTTGACATCTCTTGCACTTGGCATTGACCTAACGACACTTGGATTGAACTTGAATTCTACTGAAAATCTCCACAAGACATTTGGTTCCCCATGGTCAGATGAGCCTGCCAAGGGAGATCCTGAGTACACTGTGCCTCAATGTTATTATAACAAACAACCACCTCCTCTAAGTGTGAGCTTTATTCGATATCTTATTTGCAGGCTATGTTACTTTTAAGCATTGTTTAGTTGCTGAGATGTGTTTTGGTTGCAGCAAGCATACTTCTCAAAGTTCCAACTGAACACACTATTCTATATTTTTTATAGGTGCGTCTTATGCTTAATATCATTTATTGGTTTTGTTAGTCCATTCTCACTGTAAATATGACATCTGTTTGCTTATTAACTTTTATCCAGTATGCCAAGAGATGAAGCCCAATTATACGCGGCAAATGAGATGTATGTTATCTCAGCTGTCACTTTATATAGACGTATGAATTTTCTTGCTTGTATCATATTGTTTTTCTGTTACTACCAGTGATAAAATCTGGAGCTATTTATGGTGGTATAATATTTCCTCAGGCTTCATTCTGGTTTCTGGCAAAAAATAGATCTTGATTTGGGTTTTCCCATGTGCCGTGTGTACTATTTTCAGGTATAATAGAGGCTGGTTTTATCATAGGGAGCATCGATTGTGGTTCACAAGAGTTGCTAACATGGAGCCTCTTGTAAAGACAAATGCATACGAGAGAGGTTCTTATATCTGCTTTGATCCTAACACGTGGGAGACAGTTCACAAGGTTTTGTTTCTTTTTCAATCCAGTTACTGATTAATTACCATTTCCGACAGAGAATTTAATTGCTATGATCAAGGCCTTTGAATAAATGGTATGATCTCGTGCAGGATAATTTTGTTCTCCACTATGACATGTTGGAAAAGAGACCAGGTCTACCTCAACATTGACATTCATGCTCACCATGTAAATCTTCAGGTGGAACTTTTTTTTTTAGAGTAGAGGTAGCTTGATTTTAATTTTACTGTGCAGTAAGCCATTGTAATCAATCATTGCAGCAATGTTATCTTTCTATTAGCTTTCTTAGTTCTGTACAATTTGCATGGTAAGATCACGATACGAAATGGAGCCTTTTCTTTTATTGTGCATCTTTTCAGTTCTGTAGTCCCTTTGCAGTTCATGATGCCATTCCATTTTCTGGAAGTTGATACGTTTGGGTTTGTAGCATGCATGAATGGTATATACTAACATGTGGTAGTCTTAGTATAAGTTGATGTTTACTTATGAATCCTAAACCTGTGTCTAATTCAAGTAATCCTAAATTATGAGTCATGTTTTCTCAACGTTTGCGCTGAATATCAATAGTCCTCTTTCTTCACATAAAATAACATCACATGTTTCTAATTATCAACCCTGTGCATGTATTCTCATGTTTCACCTTTTCCATTTTACTTTTCAGATTTAATCTAAATTGCTATTGCCTATACTTGTTTATGTTTTTCAAAATAAGTCAACGCGACAGTCCACCACCTTCGTATCTTACAATTCTAGTATTCTGTATACCAATTTAATGAAAACTAACCACACCCCATTATGTACTTGCATATTGTGATTGTGATATGCATAAACATTTGAGAAGCCAAGCAAAATACTTGCTAATATATCATTCTACACAGTTTGTTATAAAAAGTCTTATATCGAAAAATCAATATTGACTTATTTCATTTTTTCTTCTGATCGGTCGTCCAAACACATTCTCATTTCTGCAATAAGATATATATATATATATATATTTTTTCTCAAAATTCCTTTTTGTTGCCGAGAAAGTAGAAATAGATCATGTGAATTTTAGCCTACAAGACGAACTTGCTGACATGGGTGTTACAAATCTAATTTTGGTGTTTGAAGTTCCTGAAAATGTTAAGAGCCGTGCGTGCGCGCATACACACACACACACACATATACACATATATATGTATATAATGCGCATGCGTGTGTGGAGATGATGGCATCTCTAATTGCCAAAACTTGAATTTCTTAATGTAATTTTATTTATTTTACATGAACCTCAATTTTTGTAAGGGCATGAAAAAATTTGAGATTAGAATTATGTGTGGCAATAGGGTTTGATTTAGCCTTGGACATTTTTTCATATATTGTTTTTCGATGACTAAAGTGGTTTTGGTTCAGAGAATGATGGAGAACCTTGTGGGTTCCAGTTGGTTTCCCATGGCTTTTTGCTAGAGCTATCTGTACTGCCTTTAACTGCCCCTTGTTACTAAATAATTGTAAAGAAAAACTAATATAGAGTCTGGACCTCTTTTTTCATGGCATTCTTTTGTTATCTTCAGCTTCATTTGGATGGATGTATTTGAGGTGAAGGATTTCTCTGTTGGGCGGCAGTTCTGCGAACATTGTATCATTAGGTTTTATATTGAGACTCTGATTTATTATTGTTTATTTATTTTTCATATTAAATTTAAGAGGAATCATCTGAAAATGTTTACCTCAATCCTTTTCCTAAATCAAATCCTTACATCCAAATGCAAGCATATTACGTACTACTTTGGTTTATTCTTCTCTTATTTAGATTTTCTTGTGTTGTCCTAAAATGAAAGTTGTGTTAAAGTTTTGCAATCATGTTTTGACAAATCCATTGTGCTTTGTTTCTGTAAACCCAGGACACAACGGATATGAAATCATCGACTTATTCTTACTGGTTCATGTATCATTGTCATGGTTTTTTAACCTTTATATCTTTCTCCTGAATCATATCCTTTTATCCACATCCTCCTATCCAATTTAAACAATGTTCAGGTTATCTTTCCTTCTACTCGTCGTCTGTTTTCTTTTCTTTTGTTTCCATCCCTTCCTCTTTATGTCCTTTGTTTTTTTAATAAATTAAGTTCTTGGGATTATGCTACCTTAAAGATAACCTAGTTTGGGGATCCAAAGCCGTTTGGTCACGACCCTGGCACTGGGTGAAATATAGTATCAAGTGCTGAATTAGGTACAGAGAACGTGGTAAGTACATGAACCAGTAATGATATCATGGGCCTTTATCTGCAATTGTGTTCAGTTGTTTTGTTTTGCTTTTTCAGTTTTTAATTAGGCTGATAGAATACTAGAGCGAAATGGATCTAGCAAGTAAGGTTGAAACTATCTGAGACTCATTTGGCAAGTCTGGTTTTGCCCGTCAATTGTCAGGATTATTTTTTTTTTTTTCCTGGATTGGCCACTACCAAAACCAGTTCTTTCACCATCTAGGTGATGTGTGTGCGAGTTTCTCTATTCATTTTCCTATTTTATTCATCATATAATGCTTTGATTTTACTTACTCTTGTTGTCTATTGTTTTGAATTTAAAAAGTTGGGGATGGAGGTCGGTGCATTTTGATATGACAAAAAGTTTGGATGTAAATCGCATATATACTATATGAAATAGAACAGTTGTCACCAATTTTGGGGAAATCAGATTGCTGGTCCTCTTAGTCGTATGTGGATTTGGCTTGGTAGACGCAATCTGTCAGTATTTTCTTTTTATGTCGTATGGCACAAGATGATTTTCCTATGCTTGTACTAAGGCTATCTCTAGTTCTGGTCTGATTAGCTTGGTGCATTGAATCAGCCTACTTCCAGGGCTTTTGTATTCCAAATATGGCTTTATGAGTATCTTTGACTGTTCAAGCGTACTCATAAATTATGGTGCCGGTTTCTAGCAAGCCTTTTGACGCAACCTAAGTGGTATTTCTGATGCTGCCTCTGCATTTGTCTTGACATGCTTTTTCCTGGTTTCTAAGCTAAGTTGCCTCTGAGTCTCAGGTTGACAATTAAATTTCTACTGTTTTCTGGTGCTCCCATATTGTTCAGTTCACTTCTCAGATAATATGGTAAATCTGTATGAGTCAGATTTTTGATGGCTATATCACAACCCCTCTGCATCCCCATAGGTCCTATCTTTGGTTCAAATAGTTCATTTGATAATACAACACACACACACACACACACACACACACACACACATGCATTATAAGCCATGTTCATTAGTCTGCAGAAGATAAAGCTGCCATGCGGTTAGTTCCCTGAGTCTATCATCAGGATTTATCGACATTTATTGGATGTGAGATAATATTTTGATGAGCATCTACTCCAATGTGGTACTAATAATTAAAGTGATTTGTATGAGGGGAAAGCCGGTGATGTTAACCGTTCGAGTCCTTGAGGCTCAAGTGAAACGAAAGAAGCCTTCGCTGGCTCATTCATTTTGGAGTTTTTTGGTTTATGTAGAAGAATTATGGAACTTTTTCCCTTGATGTCTTGCTTGGTTTATTATTGAGAGGCTTTGCATGAAAATTTTTCGTGCGATTATTTTTTTTTAAAATAATCACATCTGTAACTTTTTTTTTATTTGAAAATTACAAACTTTTTTTTTACCTATATTTATGTTTATTTTATTTTATGTTAATTAATCTTAAGTTTATTATATTATCTTTGCAATAATTGAAAAATATGCTGAATTTATCAACCAAATAAAATATCTAACGGCAAAGTCAGACAACAACATAGCCTTTTAGTCCCAAACAAGTTGGTGTGGCTAGAGATGAAACCCAAGAGAACCAATGATAAGAGAAACACAAAAAGAGTTCAAAAACAAAAGGAAGAGATTGGAGCAAAAGTCATTCTGGCACATTGATTGCTAGCCTCTAAGCGCTCCTATCCACCGCGAAATCCTTTGAGATATTCCAATAATAAAAAAAATTAAATGAATGAAGTCGTAGAGAGGAAATATCAAATCAAAATCCAACCACATTTCCAATCGAAGTTATAGAAATGATGAATATTTTTACTTGAAAACAAATAACAAAATAATTTTAAAATAAAAATAAATTAAAAACTCGTCTCCATCAATCACAAATTCATTTTTTTTACCAGAACATACAGAAGCATAAGGATAACAAAAAAATGATAGATTATTCTATACACGCGAAAAAAAAAATTATATAAACTACTACCAAACCAAGAAAAAACTAATCATTATAAAATAATCAAAATAACCATCAATTTACAAAAATAAAAATAAAAAATCCAATTATTTAAAAAGTACATGTAGATTGATAACGAAAAAAACTGCCCTATGAGATCTAAAGAATATATGGTCTAAGTCATTTTCTCCCTTCCCACACATCTCACATCTCACCTCTTTACTGATCCCTCTCATACTCAGCTGCAGACTAGTCCCTAACAACCCATTCAACACCTCCAGATGAATTTTTTTATCTTGTCTAAAATAGGCAACTTCCAAGTGAACTGCCACATCCTCTGGAATTTTTTTAGGATTGCTACTAGAAACAGCCAAGTTAGAATCTGTTTTTCTATAATTAAAAATAGTTTCTAATCATATTTCATTGAGAAAACCCCTTCCCGATTACCCTCCCACACCGACTTATCTATCAACTCTAAATGACTTAAGTGAATCTTAAGAATAACTTGAGCAGTGACAAGATCAAAGGATTGAAGAATAATTTCTCTATACCAGTCATGTCTATCTTTATCATTGAGATTACTCACCCTATCTAACCTTCCGCTATCATACTCAAAGAGAATGTAAGGTTTGAAAGAAGGTAACCTAGGGATCCAAGAGGAATCCCAAACCTTAACACTGTTATCCCCAATTTGAAACATACCTCCCAACTCCATAGCCACCTAGCCAACTTTTCTAAAGCCAAGAGTCCCCATTACTGAGTTTAACAGTCAGCAAGATTCCATTCCCAGGATATCTACCCTTAATCACTCCACTCATCTGAAGAATTGAGCATATTTAGAGCTCCCCACAGTTATTTTGTAATAAGTGCATCATTGAAAGCTCTTAGAACTTTAAACCCCATCCCTCCCATCTCTCTTAGGTTTGGTAAGCTTCTCCCACTTATTCCCCCTCCCTCTGTTTTTCCCCA